CCACAACTGAAATTGAAATTGAGTTGTACTTCCTCTTAAGAAAGAGCAATGGGAGAGAAGATTAGCTCTCCTGAAACCCACCTGAAACATATAAAGACATATTGTTTGAAAAAACAGTTTTTAAGAGATGGGCTATCAGGTGATTAAAAAGACAATAATCTTGAGAAATAATACACAAAAGAAGTGAGATATACTGTTGCCTCAGTTTACCAATTTGAAGGCATTTCCAGACTAAGCATACGGAGGGAGGATCCAGATAGAGCCCATCTGACTGCTTGAGTTCAGACGATGTTCCCAGAGGTCAGGGAGACAAATATACTTAGAGCATGAGACAGAGAAGTTGAAAAAGGAGAGCTGAAGATGTCCTGCAGATCACCTTTGAGGGTATTCTATTTAAGCACACTGTGTGAAGAAACTACCAGATGACATACCAAGAACAATTCCAAACAAGATAATGCTGAGCTTTCACAAATAGCTGAAAACAGTGCCACAAGCCAGATTGGAAAATCTCCAGATTGCTGAGACTTTGAGTACACGTGGGGGTCATGGCTCAGAATGGACAGTAATTAACTCTGGACTAAGGATGATTTTAGTGCTGCCTAACAAATCAAAAAAGTAAGAATCAAAAGCAGCAGTCTGTTTCTTGGTAACCTTAGAAGGAGCTGCTTTTACCTTTTGGCCTTCATGTCTTCTATCATAGAGCTAAGACAAGCAGTTTCCTCTGTGCCTCAACTGAATCCCTGAACAAGAGATACATTAGATACAATAATAAATTATTATTTGGGGTCTCAAGTTTTGGGGAAATTACTCTTCTATATATTATTAATGCATGTTGGTTTATAGTCTAGGCCTTCAAATAATTAAAGGTAGTATCCAAGATGGGGCCACTAGATGCAATTGTAGATCATTACATAACTAAATTTTAATCTTGATAACAATAATGAATGAGACTTTTGGTAGTCTTAGGAGGGCTGTTTGTTTTAAATATGAAGGGACATTAACTATAGGGAAAAGAGAAAGATTAAATTTTTGCAATGGTGACCCCCAAGGATAAGCCTTATTGTATCTGTGCCCCGGAGCATTTCCCGTCCAGGCTGACTCTGTAACTTACCCTCAAGATAAGGAAAACCTTAAATTGCCATGTGAAAAAAGTCTGGCTCATCTTCTCAGGGGGTTAAAACAAACATGTGTAGAAGGAATCCAACCATCTGAACCTTCCAGCCTTATGAGGGCCCAGTTATGTGGCTAAGGCATTCCCAGAATACCCTGCTCTAGCTAACCCAGCCAAAACCTAAGACTGCCAATTCACTTGGAGAACTGTGAGAGATAACCAATCATTGTTTAAAGGCACTAAATTTTGTCAATGATTTATTATAAAGCAAATGCCAATAAACAAACTCTGAAAACACCATAAAGTTTATAAACCTCAGTCACACTCTCCTTTAACATCTCTAAGAAAACAGCAGATTCCCCTTTACATATAAGTGGCATAGGCTTCAAGCATCTTGATCTCTTCTTTTCCAACTACTTTCCTTAAAAATAGAGCTCACCTGTTTGATGTGGGTGTGGGTGTGTGTGTGTGTGTGTGTGTGTGTGTATGTATGTGTGAATTCATTGACTTTCTGGCTTATCCATTCTCTCTAGGACCCAGAATTCTCATCCTCCCATCCCTTTTTCCACCTTGTCAGTCTCCCAAAACAACCATTCCCTGAAACTCTGTTCTTTTCAAAGTAGCTGAAATAAAGAGGAGCCCAACATTTTGACAGCTTAGCTTACTGTCTCTCGCATACACTCTGTATGTGACTACATGTCCTGAAGTCTCCCATGTCTTCTGTCACAATTCCATAAACCCACCCTCCATATTGCTGCCAGAGTGTTCTTTTAGAATGAGCATTTGTTAAAACCCTTCATTGTTTCCCATCTATAGGTTAGGACAACAATAAAATACTCACAAGTACTTTCTAGGCACTATGCTTCCATCTGTGCAAGTATAGAGTATCAGCCAGCATAGTGTATCACCCTTGCAAACAGAGTGTATCAGCCAGTCCCTGCTCTCAAGGAGTTTACATTATAGACCAAGGCTGAAGGGTCAACACATATTTTTGATGTAATGTGAGAATGCTAAGATGGAGGGCATCATAGAAAAACTGAATTTGTTAAATGACTAGAATGTTGGGATGACTTCCCACAGATAAAGACAGAGGCTGCCTTAAAAGCTGATTGAAATTCGCTAAGCAATGAAGTGAAAAACAAAGACAGAGGCAGTGTGAGCAAACACAGATTTCTGAATCAGCAGGCTCCATGTAGAGAACTAACTACAAACAGTCCTGTATCATCTGAGGTTCAATTTTGAGAGATGGCACAGGAATGTTGTGTCTAGATAGGGAAGGAAGGTCTACAGTAAGCAGTACAATAGTACCCAAAAGACTTCTGTATCCTAATTTCCAACATTTGTGAAAACATTGCTTTATGGCAAGGGAGAATTAATATTGCTGATGGGGGCTGGGGTTGTGGCTCAGCAGTAGAGTACTCGCCTAGCATGTGTGAGGCCCTGGGTTCGATCCGCAGACCCACATAAAAATAAAGATATTGTGTCCAACTAAGAAATAAATATAAAAAAAAGAATTTTTAAAAAAATATTGCTGATGGAATTAAAATTGCTAAATTAGTTGCAGTCAAATAAAAAATACATTTTCCTGGGTCATCTAGATGGACCCATTATATTCACAACAATTTATTAATTGCAGAAGAGTAAGGCAGAGATCTGAATCAGAGAAGATTTGAATGGGCTATATTGCTGGATTTGAAGTGGGAAGGTGGAGAAACTTGTAGAAGCCAGAAAATGTAAGGTCACAGATTGTGCCTCAGACCTCAAAAAGGAACATGGTGAGACAATGAAGCAGGAAGATAGACCACCCATAGGCAGATAAAATAACGAACTGGGAGAAGGAAAAGAGGGAGTGAGACCATATTGTCCTAGAAGGAGACATCAGGCCTGGAGAACATCCTGTCACTGCCTCTGACGGCTTCAACTACAATAGCTCTTCCTTATTTACCCCTACCCTACCAAGAACCAAGGACGAAATCTTCTCTAAAGCATTTCCCCTTGTGCCAACAAGCCCTCAGCACCACAACACCCCTTATGTTAATAATGGCTTGAAAACTGCTTTTCCCAGATGTGTTGAAGAAAAATAGAGTTGACTAGTCCCTTTTTGAATCCTATCATACCACCAGTCAACTACAGGGACAGATGGTGCCCATAAAATCCCCTAGATTACCCCCGCCCTCTTGGGGTCTCTCCTTTTGGGGACCTCTGCTATTACTCTAATAAATCCTAATGATTTGCTCCCACCCTTGTGTCCATGGATTTCATTCTTTTGTGTTTTCCCAAGAAAAAGAACACACCCATCTACACTCTGTGTATAATGGCAGTTCTAACACTTGGTTTAAGTCCAGTTAGACTCATTTTTGACTACTTTCCTTCATTACAATAAGATGATAATTCTGATATTGTAAGCCAATGAATTTGTGGTAATTTATTAGATCAGTAATAAGAAACTAAAACAGATTAAGTAACAGAGGCTGTCACATGCTTTTAGTCTTAATTTTAATGCAAGAGAAATGGTCAGTTTGCCATCAAAGATCGGTTAGATAAAAGGTGAACCAGTGGGGTAAACAGTTCTGTTGTAAGGCCAGAGCAATAACATAAATAAACAAAAAGTGATAAGTTGCTTAACTGGGAGAGTAGTGAAGTGATAGATAAGAAGGGACAAATTAATTTTAAGGACAATCAAGATTTAAGTGTCCACTGTACATGGGCACAAGGGAAAAGGAAGTATCCATAAGTATCGCTCAATTAGATGAAAAATGCAAGAATGAGCCCTTCGTTTTATACTGGTGAAGGGTGTCTGTGTGTGCGTGTGTTGGGTGTGTGTATGTGTGTGTGTGTGTGTGTGTGTTGCAATTTCAGTATATTGAATGAGTTGATTGTGGGACATCCACATGGAGAGCTGGCAATAGACTATATTGCCCAGATTTCAAACTGAACCCTATTCATACAAGTGAAATTAAAAGAGAGCAAAAGTAAGATTATACTGATTAAGAAAACAGCCTCTGGAGCCATGATTTAATACTGATCATCATCCTTTCTCAATATTTAAAAAAAAAAAAAAAAAAAAGCGGGTAACTATTGGCAAGGTTGTTGTTAAGAATGAAATGTTTGAAAGATGTTTAGCACAGTATTTCTAGGGGCCCAGAAATAATGGGGAACAGTTGTGGGTCAACGAATCTACGAAGTCAAGTCCTAGCTTCTGAGTTCAAATAGTATCTGCCCCAGCTTCGTGATGCGGCTTAAAGTCAGGAGCCATCATGTCACACACTGTTCTGGGCTGTGCCTACCTCGGTGGGTGGAGCAAAGGAGGCGGGAACTTTACGAAATTTGACTAGGTGGTTAAGAAAAACAGAAAGAGGGAAACAGGATAAAGCAAGACAGTCCTAAAAGTAAAAGAGAAGACAGCCAGCAAGGAAAGATCAAGGCCAGAGGAGGGAGGAGGCCAGTGGAAACTGATACACCCCTGGGGACCTCGCTTAGAAAGAAGCCCTCAGAGCCTGGTCGCGGCTGGTGCCAATGTATATATGTGGCAACAAGCCAGAACCCCTCGTCGACGCGCTCAGGAGACCTTAACGAGCCGCCCCACAACCAAGCTTTGTGGGTTTGGATCCTCTGAGGGGATCTGGACTGCAGTCGGTTTCTGGGACCAGGCCTGAGTACCGGTCCTCCCAACCTGAGGGTTCTGGCCCCTGCGCGAGACGCCACCGCCCGCGAGGCCGCTGCGCTCATCCCTGTCCTCGACGTTCTAGCCGGGAACGCGGCGGGTGGGGCCTCGAGACCCAGGGCACTGGCCATTGCCCGTCGAGTCGCGACAGAGGGACGACGGCGAAGCGCTGCTTGGGAAAGCGAGCCCGGAGGGCGGCGGGGGAGGACCAGGGCCCAGCCGGCTATGGAGCTGTACCTCAGAGCCTGCTCCAAGGCTGCCAATGTCGCCGCCACCAAGACGGGCTCCAGCAGCCTGGCCGCGGACAGTCAGCAGTGCGGAGACGTGAGTGGCCACAAGCCCGGGGTCTTTGTTCTCTGCTGGGACTCAGGCCTGCTGGGGAGGACCTAGCCACACAGGGCCTGGCCTTAGTGTAACGGTCCAGCCCTGTGCCCCCTTGGCGCGCACCCGCGGAGCTGGAACAGGGGCCCCGCGAGGCTGGAGGGCTTCACGGGCATCAGGTGCGCGCACCCCTGCAACCCGGAATGAGAGGCCAGGGCTTCCTTAGTGGGCGTGGGAGGAGACTGGCCTGAACCAAAGGGGTTCACCCACCGAAAAGAAGAACAACTAAAGTGTCCAATTGTGCCTGACAGGGTGTACACAAGACCCAGTTTCCAGGGGTGGGAGCCTCTCAGCTACTGGATTTGCCCCTTGGCGTCAAGTTGCCTGTGATTCCAGGAAGTAATACTGTTTTCTTTACTACGAATATAAGTGAAAAGGTAAACTGATTTTTAACTGTCTTTAGTTTTCTTTTCCCTTTCTACTTGCTCTTAAATTCAGAGGCTACAGTATACAAAGTCCATTAAGGGAATTTGCGTTAACATTCACGAGAGAAAACAACTACAACAACAAACAATCAAACATAAATCTATCCAGAGGCATTATTTATAATATATGTAAAGCATTTTCATCCTATATAATTTGGACAGAATCACGAGCCAGAAAGTTTTTATTGAGTTCTGTCTTAATTTATAACTTATGGAAGTTTATTAACAGTTTTAGTAATGTTTCACATATAACAACATAATTAGTTTTTATTTGCTTAAAAATATATTTTGAATGTAAGGTCAAAGGCTGCTATTGTTTATGTGTTATGATTTTAACCAATAGTAATATTGGTTAATAACTAAACTCTCTTTCTAAAACACTTTGTGTGTGTGTGTGTGTGTTTTGAGCCCAATGCTGTTTTCACACACAACGTGGAAAAAGATGGCCCTGCTTCTATGAGGAGGTGGTCCCAAGATTTATCCCAATCTGGCCTTTCAGTTAAATCTCCAGAGCCTTTGCTACTTCAAGTACATGTCTTTTATAATCACACATCCATACCGTGCTTTGATGTCCTCCAGTCTCCTAGTTTAACAGTTTTTCTTCTCCCTAATCTATGAATCTGAGTCATTCTTCAAGATTCTTTGTGAGCCAGGATAGACCTTGACTAGCTTAACTTTACTTAGAATTCACATGTCCTTGGTTTGACTGATCTCACTCAACACTCAGACAGAATTATAATGTTTACTTCTCTCAAATATTTTCATGTTTCGAGTCCTCAACTCTATCCCTGTCTGAAAACTCCCCAGCTTTTATTGACAAATTCTTGAGATTCGGTATATTCTTATTGAGTGGTTACTTTGATCAATATTCCAGAAAGTTCTGTAAAAGAATTCTAAGTGAACTCAACCCTTTCACTATGATGTCATCAGAAATCAGTGGAGCCCTTTGATATTTTATACTTGCCGAATATCTTAGTTTGGTTCCTATAGTAAAATACTATAGACTATTTATCTATAAAACAAAAGAAATTTATTTACAAGGTTCTGGAGGTTGGAAATCTGAAATGAAGGTACCAGCATGGTTGGATTCTGTTTAGCACCCTCTGCTTATAACCCTTAAGTGGCAGAAAAAGAGTTGATGAGCTGTCTGTGGTCTCTTAAGGGCTCTCCTGAGGGCTCAACCTTCATGACTTAATTACCTCCCAGGACTCTAACATTTAATAACACATTGGAAGCTAAGACTGCAAAATGTAAATTTGGGGGAACACTTACATTGTGTAACACCTAATAAATATGAGGACATACTTATAAAATTGGGAAATACTTATTTCCCAAAATAAGATTTATTTCTGACAAAAACATAATTACTTTTTGAAAGCTAATCTGTTCTACTTGAATATAGTAAGCTAAGATATAGATAGGAGAAAGAAGTTCTGTATTCTCTTGCACATATAATGACTATAGGTAATGATAGTGTACTCTATATTTTGTCTTAAAATTTTTTGAATGTTTTCACCACAAAGGAATGATGCATATTGAAGATATAAATGTGTTCACTTTGATTTGAAGACTACACAATTTATGCATGCATTAAAATATCACATGGTACCCCATAAATGTATACCATTGTTATGTATTAATTTAAAAAAAATAAGCCAACCTCACAAAATTTGTGTCATATCTACATAGATTTATTGCTAAAATTTGCTTGAAATTTATTCAATTATTAGTCATACAATGATATAATTTCTCTTTAGCATAGAAACTTAGCCATGTTTTTTATCTGCTGCTTCTAATATGTTTACTGTATTACCATTTTTTCAATCAATAAATTCATTTGTATATTACTTTTTAAAATTATATTTCTATTACTTATTCCAAAATTATTCATTTGGCCATAATTATGTACCAGGCCAGCTCCCTGAAGACTGACTTTATGAGATTATTTTTTCTCAGCATTATATATTTGATGAAGTAAATCTTTATTATTTTTATATATAGAAAAACCAGTTATTTCTTTTGACAACAAAGGGTTACCCTGGCTTTAATGAATCATGTATTAAAAGGTAATACCTTTACATGGCTTAGGTGATCAGGTTTCACCTTGAGAAACATATGCCTGGCACAACTAAAAGTCAACAATTGCCTTGTGCTGTAGTCTCAGGGACCTGGGAGGCTGAAGTAGGAGGATTGCAAGATTGAGGCCAACCTCATCAACTGAGACTCTTTCTCAAAATGAAAGAAGTAAAAATAACAAAGGGCTGGAAAAATGTAACTCAGTGATAGAGTACCCCTGGGTTTAATCCCAGTACCACCCTGGAGGTAGGGGTGAAAGGGGGAAAATTTAAAAGAAAAATAAATAAATAAAGGTCAAAAACATCTAAACAAAATTGAAAACTAAATATCACCATCTAAAAGAGACAGTCCCCTCCTCAACTTATTATTATTGATTGTTTCCTTTACAGGAGAGATGTCTTTCTCATTGAATTAAAGACTTTAATGCTAGCAGATTCTTTTCTATGCTTTTCAGAGAAGCATTTTGTAAACAGGAAATTTGGTTTTCTGATTTGGCCACTTGGAAGGAATTAAAGTTTAGTGTTAAACAGGGGGTCTTAAACTTAACAAAGAAGATTTTCAGTAAAAAGGGAGAATTATTATACTATTATGGACCTCCTCTCTACCCTTTTGTGGAAGTCTTTGTAGGGTCCCACCCAGCCAGCCTTCTGAGTACTTATAAAAGTATTGAACAAAGTTATATCTGTAGTCAAATCTGGAGGTCACCAATCAATAGCTGCAGTCATGTGTGGATCATGCACTGTGTTGTATGATAGTGTTCATGGAACTAGATACCTGCAAAAAATGCACATGCTCCCTGGTTTTCCAGCTCACCTACATATTCCACTTCTTTCACCTGATTCCAGATCTGGCTTTTTTTTTTCTTTTGACTCACACTTGTGTTGTTGTAGCCAAACTTAGAATGCAAAAACCCCCCTCATTTCCTATAAATATGTTTTAAAGTTGGCTCTTCAGTGTGTTGAACTATGTAGATCTAGAGTTTGCTTTGAATGTAGAATTTTCTTTCATTAAAGACCCAAAATACAATGACTCTTTAACCCCTAAGTTTTAACATCTGAGTTTTGCTTTTACTGTTTGTTCAAGTTACTTCCATTTAATTACATTGAAAGATTTTCTTTTTCAGATGTTGACATATAATAAATATAATTAATACTATCCTTTTGAATGTAATGCCATGATCTGATAGAGGAATTAAGAAAGGGAGAATCTTAGCATTGCTTTATGCCTTAAAAAATTTCTACACTTTACCTTTTCTTTTCCTCTCCTCCTGTCTTCTCTGGATTAGGGTCAGAGACTGATACAGATCAGTGAGGTCGGGTCCTTAGAATAATTCATGTAATTGAGAAAAAGAAGAGGAGAATAGTGTTTAAACTTGGTTCAAGTAAGTCTTTCCATTGGAGTTTCTCCTGTTCAGATTCTTCCACCGTGTTTTATTTCTAGTCATCTCAATAGGTTATTTAAATTTGAAAATGCACCAATTTTACATATGTAATATTTTTGAATCTGTGTTTGCAGCTTTTTCGACCGTCCTACGGTTTTAACCTGACAGATCCTTATTGTCAGCTTTTGGAAAACCAGTACAAAAACCTCCATGATCCACATTTAAGAGCCTACTATAAGCGCAAAGATATCCTGAGGAGACTAAAGAAAGGTGGCTACATCACCAGCAATAATAAAGTGGGTTAAACTTACTTTTTGTAAATGAAAAAAAAACTTAAAAATTTCATACATGTGTGCTTCTATACCTTCCTGGAGAGCCAGTGTGATCACCTTTAACTTAGAATACTGTCAGTGTTTGAGCCAAAGGAAATCAGATAACAGGTGTTTCTAAATGAAACTAATTCTTCACCTTTTTTTTCTTTGAAATATCACGATTATAAATAAGTAATTTATGATGGTAAAAATATATTATTTGCCTCAGCTGTATTACAGTCTTGTTCATTTGTCTCTAATGGCACTGTACCCTTGTCAGGATTATGAACCATATATGTTTTAAGTTGATTCTTTTTAGTTACTCATAATATTATTATTCATTTTAACATAATTCTAAAAGTATGAAATATAATTTTTTTTTCTCATTCAGTCCCCCAAACCACCCCTTTCCTTCTTTTCCTTCCTCCCCTATTTCCCTTCCCTCTACTGATCTTTCTGCTATTATAGTTTTTTTTCTTATTAGTGTCTTATGGATGTACATGATGGTGAGATTCACTGTGGTGTATTAATATAAAAAATTAGATGAAATAGGACTGTTCACTTTGTTTGAATCCCAATGGAATGTTCTTACTTCAGTTAGACATTTATAATTATAATCTGAATTATAATTAATCAGAATTAGTATTTCAATAACTTCAATTAATTGTTAGTAATAAATTCCTTATTATATCGTAGGTGATTTTGGATAGAAATTTTAAAAATATTATTTTATATTCTACAAATTCTTTGTATTCTACTTTATATTCAACAAATATAGAAAGATACTATCCATGAAACTATTACTATTGATACCAAAATGTGATTAAATTTTATGTCACTACTATTTTTCCTCTGCAAAGTGATTATTACTTTTATATATTATAGATTTAAAATATTTATACATTTTTGTTTTTGCTTTTAGATTGTATGTACCTTGAAGGAATTAAATAAATACAGGCAATATCTCACCAGCTTAAAATTAGACTTTGAAAGAAACTATGTAAGGGAACAAGTAAGTTAAATACTTCAACTTGTTTTATTTAAGCAGTTTAGAAAAAAGTTTTGTTTGTATGTGTGTGTGTTTTTAATAACACTTTGACTTTTAATTGTTGACAAAGTAATTCAGTATTTTTCTGAATAAAAAATTAGAATAGGAATAGACAAAATTTGTAAGTTGGCTATCTTTGACCAAAAATGGGAAAGGAATTAATTCATGCATTAAATCACTAAAGGTGACTGACTTTATCTGGAAATTAAATTTCTGGTAAAATGTGTTACTTCTGCTTGATATGTGGCAAATAGGAAGTATCTTGTGACAGCAAGATTCTTAAACTGTAATCCAAAACCGGTTAAGCAGTAGGAAGAAAACAGTATGAAGAATTTCTATGGTGTCCTACAGATGACTCTAAGAACATGTACACTGTGTGGTTGTACTCACGTCCATGCACCTGCATTTATTCTATCAAAATGTTCTTAAAGGTGCAATGGAATTCTTGGCCATAGAATGAGCAGTTATAGGCAGTGACTTCCTTCTGATTTTTAACTCTAAGCTGTATATGGGGCACATCTGAGTTGGGGGGGGGAGAACATTCAGGTTTTAGGGGCAAGAAAGTTAATTCAAAATAAGGAAACATGTGTCTTTGTAAATTTATGCTCGAGATTAGAGAGTTGGATTAAAATGAGAAGGACTTCCCTACACTTTTAAGTGTTGTGTATCTTTCCCCACTTGCCCTCTACTTCTCCCATGATTTTATTTAATTTCTTTAAAACAGGTATACAAATGAAGGGTTTATCTCTAATTTTCAGAGAAATAAATCTTCATTTTGGTTTGGTTGTCTCTGTGTCTAATAGATTCAAAATAGACTTAAGTGTAATTAAATGATTAATAATTTATGCAATTTAGAAATGCTAATGGCTCTATTTCTGGGAAATATAAGAAATTACATATTTATAATATACATTTCTAAACTAGAAAATGATCGCAAAACAACTACGTAGACTGCAGGAAACCAATCATCTCCCTGAATGTTCTGAAACTGCACACTTCCAGAATTGGTTGTTACATGAGGGCGCTGCACAATCTATTAAGGACCAGGAGAGGTTAATAAGACACAGGTAAGACTGAAATTAATGCGTATTTTTACATATATATTATGAACTCAAATAAATTGAAAAAATACTGGAAAACATTGAAGGCAAGATTTTTTTTTCTTTTAAATAGTAGATACTACTTAACTCCCTTATAGTCCTTAGTGTAGAAAGGAAGAAGGTGGGGAGACAAAGAGATACGGGGATTGGGAACCTTGGTGTCAAGGCTGTGAAAGAAAATTTAAGCTTTACCAGAGAAGATAAACTTAAACCAAGAGGTAAGCCAAACACATGACTGAAGGAAAAACAGGTCCAAAACCCTTTCTATAGAAGGAGAGGAAGGGAAAGTATTTTTAGCACATGTTGAAAACAAGTTTTTATGATCCATTTTTAGGGTCTGACGGCATTGAATTTGAGGCAGTTAATGCAAAGCCCAAAACTTTCTAGTTTAAGATATCTGATACAAAATATGAACATAAGCTATCTTTAAAAAAATTAAAAATCATGTAAATTAATTCAGATATTACTCAGTCATTAACATTCCATTGTCAAATCTGTATTTTTAGGTGAAGGTAGGTGACATTCTTTTTCCTTCACTAGGAGTTGAAAGTTTAGGCTGTATTATCTGAATTTTATTTTTTAATTTTTATTCCACAGATATATTTTGCAATAATACCATAAGATATTTATGTACCAGAGACCCAGACTATAAATGGAAGATTTGTTCAAAGAATTATAAATTACAAGGACTCACTTTGTTTTCAGAAAATTCAATATTTTTTCTGGATTTGAAGTTGCAGCTTCATTTATATCAACATTCTTTCCAGCTTCATATTGCTAAACCTACTGAGTTTTGAATGCTTACTGTGCAAATGCTTTAATTAGTATGATACACATTGTCCCATTGCCTTGGCTATGACAACATATACAAATGGAATAGGAAGACTTTAAAATGAGTAAAATATTATGAGTCAAGCTGAACTGAAGGTCTATGAAAGGACTAATGGGAAAAAAAATCCTATAGTTCAAAAAATGAAAAGCAAGCAAGGAGATGATTTGGGAATATCAAAACACAAGATACCATAGTGCAGGAAACATCCAATTCACTTCATGATGTTTGCACTCTTTCTCAGGTATCTGGATATGATATGTAGGGAATTAGAACAACTAGAGCGCACAGCAGAAGAGCATCGCCTACTCCAGAGAGATAGAGAAGAGAGGCGTCAGCGGGAACACACAAGAAGAAAACTTAATCTTCGCAGAAAAATTGAAGAAGTGAGACATAATAGATTTAAAATATTGAGAGGAAAAATTGTGTACACTTTTCTCCATTTGTAAATAATGTATGCCATAATGCATGAAATCAGTTCAAGTCATTTCATTTCTAAATAATTTATACCCATTAAACTATCTTCAGAATTATAATGTATAAATTATTACATAAAAAATTAAGGCAGGGACCACACACTATACATATAAATCAACTTCTGCTCCTCTCCTCTTTGGGGACAGGCATCTATGTAGCCCAGGTTAGACTCCTACTCTTAGATTCAAGGTATCCTCCCATCTCAGCCTCCTGAGTCTGGAATTACAGGCATTCTCTACCACACCTAGCTTAACTTCCACAGTGTGAAAGAGTTACTGGACACACTTTCACTTCCCTATATCACTCGGTGTGAAGAGGAAAAAATTTTGAATTTATATTTAGTGAAAAATAATTATGGCCCATTGTGGTGGTACATGCCTGTAATCCCAGGTACTTAGGAATCTGAAGCAGAAGGATTGCAAATCCGAAACCAGCCTGGAAATTTAGCAGGAGACTGAAACATATTTATTCACCAGCCAGCCTAGCACTAGCTGGTGGGAGGAGGAGGCAGGCTGCAAGTCTACACTGTTTGACCTGCTCCAGGGGTTAGAGCACACCTTCTAAAGCATGTCAGTACTTTATTTACAAATGGCTATTGCTATATTTCAAAACTACAGACAAACATCATGAGATCTAAGATCATAAGCAGAAGGGGAAGTGGGTAAAAATGACTGTAGTTGAGTACAAGTTGAAAAATGGTTACTATTATCTAGGCAAACATTAACATTTTATGTAGTTAGGGTACACTGCACAAGTACAGGATATAAGAATAGAAGGAACAATTTCATCATTTTGCGTTACCAATATGCTATGCTAAGCAAATGTTGATAGGTACAAAGGCAGGGTTTTCCCATGGGAGAAACATTTCTTACATGACATGGAGTTTGGGGATAAAATGGAGTCTTTTGGTCATTGCCTATATAGCCTGGCCATAACAGGATACCCTGTCTCAAAATTAAAAAGTAAAAAGGGCTGAGGGTGAAGCTCAGTGGTGGAGTGCTTATGCAAAGCCCTGGGTTCAATCCATAGTACCACAAAAAACAAACCAACCAACATACTACCTGCTTTTTTAAAATAGGAAACAGTGGGGGGGGGTGCGGAGAAAGCCCATTTCAAAGCCACTGTATGACTTTGCTTATGCTTAATCAGAACAGATGCTTGTTAGGCCCTTGAGTTGTCTAATTTTTTGGGTGGTGGAACAAAATTAAGGTATCCCTGGGAAGGAAACAAACACCAAGTCTAGTAACATTGTGCTCTCTAGGAATGGAAGACAAAAGAGATGTTACTTCTGACAAGGATTGGAGAAGATGTTAAAAGAGAACAGAGGGTAGAAGAACAGCGGCGTAAATATAGAGAAGAGAGTGACAGAAAGGTAGGGTGAACTCTAGTTTGGGGCTGTTTGAAGAGAGGTTTTTTCCAATGTAAAAATCACTGCAAGATGACCATGGACCGGTTGCCCTAGATAATATGCATTATACAAAACTGAAATTTATAAACAATTTTTGGGGGGACTTTGTCTCACTATGTTGCCTAGACTGGCCCCAAATTCCTAGGCTTAGATAATCCTCTTGCCTTAATCTCCTGAGTTACTGAGACTTCAGCTGTGTACCTCCACACCTGGCTATAAACATTTTTACTATATTTTAACTGAAATATTTTTCTATAATGTAAAACATATTGCCCTGTTATTTGATATAATTACCTTTGGCTTTAGCTTTATACTACATGCTGTAGTTATAATTCTTATAAAAATTAAATAACCAATTTAGTTTTTCTGAGAATGAGAAATTCTTGGTAACAGTTTTGATTTTTTTCTCATCAATTAATTTTTTTAAGCTTAGCTGTTTTTAATGTTAATAACATGTAGTATGTTGTGATATATAGTGTAAATTAAAATAAGAAAAGAGATAACATCCATAAACTAATTATAACCTTATTAACTTTTTAGCACACACATAGACACACAGACATACCCATGCATAATGTTTCCATGAATATTTGTTTATTTCAATAAATAATTAAATATATGGTATTATATCTTACAGACTGGTTTGGAGATTGCCTCTTCTTTTAGTGAAATACCACTAGCAACTTTCCATGTCAATAAATATGCAATTTTTACCACTTCCTTTTTTTTTTCCTCATAGAGACTATCATTCTTTTCTGAGAGCAATAGAATGCTACATTTTTTACTTTTTGACTGATATCAATTCTATTCAAGGAATCCTGGTCACTCCAACTTTCTTTTGCTTAGCATTAGCATGACATTACATTTTTCTTTTTATTATTATTATTTTTTTTTTACTTTTAAAACTCTGTTAATTCACCAGGCTGGGCATGGTGGCACATGCCTGTAATCTCAGCGGCTCAGGAGGCTGAGGCAGGAAGATCATGACATGAAAGCCAGTCTCAGCAAAAGTGAAGCCCTAAGCAACTCAGTGAGACCCTGTCTCTATAAAATGCAAAATAGGGCTGGAGATGTGATTTAGTGGTCGATTGTGCCTAAGTTCAATACCCAGTAACCCCCGCCCCCCCCAAAAAAATCCTCTATTGGCTCATTTTCTGTGTTCCTTGTTTGGACATACTTCTCATATAGAAGGATTTGACTATTTTATTCAATCTGAAAGTCTCTGCCTTTAAGTTGTTTAATGCATTTATATTTGATATTATGATTAATATGTTTAATTTTATACCTATAATCTCAGTATTTGTTTTCTGTTTGTCTTTTTTCTTTATTGACTTATTCCACATTTTCTGCCTTGTTCTGTGAATTTTTAAATTTTAATTATTTTAAAAATTAATTTTATTGGAATTTTATTTTTTCTCTGTTATGTAATTTGGTGCTTTGTGGCTTAGTTGCTCTAGGAATCATGGTATGCATCTTTTATTTGTTAGTGTACACCTTATAGTGCTATTACTCTACATACTATAAGAATGTTACAATAATATACTTTATTTTCTATTTTCCTTTCATCTTTATCTGTTTCAGTCATTCATTTTACATATATATACATATTATATATATATATATATATATATATATATATATATATAATATGCATATATATTATTTTTAGAATCTGAGCCATATGTATATATATATATATAAATCTCATAATACATTGACATATGTATAAACAGTAATTTATATACTAATATCATTTAAATGGTAAATCTTATATATTTAGCCATGTGCTTACCAGTTTCAGTGTTCCTCATTCTTTTTTGTATATCTATATTTTCTTCTGGTATCTTAACTTTCTTCTTTCTGAAGGGTTTTCTTCAATACTTCTCCTAGTCAATTAATTTGTATGTCAGAAAAACTATGTTACATTTATGTTGAAAGATTTTCTTTGAATATATGTTAGTTCATATTTCAATTAATATCAGATAGATATAGAGTTCCCCATTGACCCTTTGTTTTATTTTAGACCTTAAAATATATTTTCTGCTCTATTTTCTACAGCTGTTCTTAACTTTGTTTCTCTCTATGTAACATAACTTTTTTACCCCTGGCAACTTTTAAGATTTTATTTTCATAACTAGTTTTGAAAAATTAGTTTATTATATGCCTGATGACATTTTAGTTGTTTTCTGTAAAATTGGTTATTTGGGCTTCCTGAGCCTGCAAATTTATGATTTTTATCAACTTTGGAACACTTTAGGTCATTATTGTTAAATATTTATTTTATATGGTCTTTTCTCTTTGCAGGTATTAAACTTCTTGAAGCTATCTCACATGTCTCTGAAACTCTTCTTTTTTTTTCCATATGATTACTTTTGAATAGTTATTCTTGCTGAATTCATGTCAGTTTCTTTTGTAATATCTATATTGTCATTAATGTATCCTTTCCATTACTTAGCTCATATATCATAATTTTATCTTGGCTTATATTATATCTGCTATGTCTCCTATTTTACTGGTAAACATACAGGATGCAGTTATGTTTACTATATTAATGCTCTTTCTTTAATTCTAACATTTGTGTCTTTTATGTGTTGATGTTAGTGCATTGATTTGTTTTTTCTATGGATTATGTTACCCTGCTTTCTTATATACCTTTCATTCTTTGACTGAATGCCAATTATTGGGAATTTTACTTTGTGTACAGGATATTTTTCCACAGGTATATATATTCCTTAGCATTTTTCTTATATATATGTATTTTATTTGGAAAGTTTGATTATTCATATATTTTTAAAAATAAATTTTTAGACAAAACCAGAGCTACATTTGATCTAGGATGAGTTAGTTCTTATTACTGAGGTAAGACTCATTTTAGTACTCTTCCCAATGTTATTTGAAGTCTTTTTCAGTGCAACCAGTAAAAATAGATATAATTTTGATCTTAAGGTTGATGCAATTAATACTCCTTAGAATGCAATTTCATTCTTTAGAGTAGTCCTTTATGCAATCTTAGTTTCATTATGCATGTGTTCTGATCCATTTTCTTGCTGAATATAAAACTCTCTGAGGATCTCTGGGTTTCTTTCTCATAAGTTATCTTCTTTCCGCTACATTCATGGCCTATACTAGCACAGAAATTCACAAAAAGAAGTCACATTTCATGTATTATGTTATGTTTGCCTGTGGTAGACCGAGGTGACGTTTGCTTAGGCCTCCAGGAATCTTCTAATTAAAAATTATTTAATTAGAAAAATTATTTAAGTTTACCAGGATAAGAATAACAGACCCTATCTGAAGAGAAATTGTACTAGTTCCCCAAAAGTGTGCAATGAGTTCAATTGTATCTGAATGTTAAAAAATGTTCTTCATACTTGACCACAGATAGATGTGTACCCCTTATTGCCCTCCCACTTTTGTGCTTAGTGTGAACTTACAAGTCACAAAACAGATTGCTCATTCCCAATATACTGTCATATTTTAAATAGTATTTTTGTATTTATAAATGGCAAATTGATGTTAACCAAATTGATGTTATTTTTGAAATGTTTTAGAAACAAGTCCTGCTAGAGAAAAAAATGGCTTATCATTTACAAAAAATGCACGATACCGGCTTTAAAGAAGATACAGGGAAAAGTACGTTAGAAAACAGTGGACAAGATGGAGCCATTTATGAATGTGAGGACATTAAAAGGCAATGTAGCTAAGTAGGACATAATTATCTATGTAAAAATCCTTTTGTAGTATTTTGTGTGCTTACACTTGGTTCAAGAGTCTAACCTAATAATTTTCATATTACGGTTTAAGTTGAATGATGGATATTTATGCGTAAAAAATATAGCAAACTGAAACAATGTTATGAAGGCGACTCAAGAGACGAGTTTTCCTCTACTGTAGTTCCTATACTACTGAAACTATAGAATTGGGTATGTGATAATTGCTATTGTGATAATTGTGTGTGTGATAATTGCTGGTTACCAACCAGTGAAAATATACAGCACCAGGAAATAAAAAGGGGAAGATAAGAAAGAATGTAGGATGTACACAAGCAAGAACTTAAAAAATGAAGTGTAAAGAAGAAATACAGAATATAGAGCAGTGACATCGCTATGCCCAATCCATACCAGATTCGTTTTTATTTGTAACATTATAAAACTATAGTGAATTCCATCCCTCATTTGCTGGCTCAAATGTAAAGTATATGGGTTTTAACTATCTATGACTACGTAATAATATTACATAGGAAAGAACATGATGTCAATCCTGTTTCTTTCTTATCCTATTTCTCTGTTAGAATCTCCTTGTAATTTTCCAGCAGATTGACTGACTAGTTTCAGCTGGCTTTTTTTTTTAATTGACTACAAATCTATTGTGTGCACTGTTCCCCAATTGCATTTAAAACTCTGTTCTGATGTTTTCTTCTCCTGCCCCCAAAGCTGTTGCCTATTAAAAGTAGCTCAGACTGCTTAGGCAAGCATTCATTGCTAAAAGGAATCCATTCCAAATTTTAAATTTTTATTTTTATTCCACACTATACACTTTTGAAGATGATATCTATGATTTAGGGATAAGATGAACAGGCTCTGGAGCAAGACTGCCAAGGTCCAACTCTTTTTATGGCCTTGTAAATGGCTTGAGCAAATTACTTAAGCTCTCAGAAACAGTTTAACCATCTAAAAACAAAGATAATAACTCAAATAATTTCTATAAAGAACCCCCACATTCTGGCACATAGTAAGCAACATTTTTTGTTGTTGTTTTCATTTGTCTGTCAAATAAGACAACTGACATTCCTAAAATACAGGTTACATTTCCTGCTTCTCTCCCTCTTTACCCAGTTTTCTCAGTTTAGAATGATCTTCTCACTCTATCAAAATCCTACAATACTTTAAACCTCATTTTAAGCCTTCATTAAGTCTTACTTGATAACCCAATGGTAAGATACTTCTCTTTTGAATCCCTTCAATAGTTTGTAACATTCAAAATGCACTTATTATAGACTTTCCACTGCCTTAATCACTTCCAATAGTAACTCCCACCTTTTTGTGTCACAGAGCTTCAAGAAAAATATATATGCAAGCCAGACATCATGGCACAAACCTGTAATCCCAGCAACTCAGGAGGCAGAAGGATCACAAGCTCAAGATCAGCTTTAGTAACTTTGCAAGGCCTAAGCAACTTAGTGAGACACTGTCTCAAAATAAAAAATGAAAAGCACTAGGGACGTAGCTCAGTTGTATACCTGGGTTCATCCCCTGGTCCCAAAAAGAAATTATATATTAAATGTATATTTGACAAATGGGTTGATTCAATCTGTTTAATTCTTTCAGGCAATGATAGCAATCTCATGCTTCAGATAAGAAATCACTTTAGTAACTCTATATACCCCAACATATTTGTCAACAATCTCATTTACTAGGAAAAGAATGTCAAGTGTTACTTTAAATACTTATTACTTCACATCTTTTTCTATGAACTGGTAGTACATTATGAATTAATAATAATATGACAGAAGAACAATAATATGTATTTCACAAATAAAATTGTTTTATACCACTATAGTAATGTAATTTCCCACCAAGTTGGAACTTTCAGAGGATGGAAAGGAGGGAGTATTAGAAAATTCTTCTCCAATGGTCAGTGAGGAAACAGATCACTCTCACATTTTACATCTCTCTCTCTCTCTCTCTCTCTCTCTCTCTCTCTCTCTCTCTCTCTCTCTCTCTCTCTCTCTCTGTATATATATATATATATATATATATATATATATATATATATATATACACACACACACATTTGTGCATTGTATAAAATATATATTCTATACTGCATTATAATATACATTTACATTTGCTTGTGCCAAGCTATAATGCAAATCCAACAATTACAGTAATCACTGTAGGCTGGTAGATCTTCAGCCCAGTCATTATTATGGTATGCATTCTCATGGTAGAGAAAATTATATGTTCCAATAGACTGCAGTATGGATTTTCCTTTGTAACAGAAAAAAAATTCTGTTTCTAAAAGCATGTCCCATTTCATCTCTCTCTCCATCTTCTCCCATATCACCCCACAATCCTGCATATGGATTAGCAAGTGGCTCATATCCTGGACATAAAACGTATAAAGTCTATCTCTGGTACTTCTGTTATCACTATAATTAAAATCCAATGTTTTATTACATGTTTTAATTAAGCTTCTCCAAAGAAGAAAAAGACGACTTATGATGATATAAAAGTAGTTTATCCAGTTCCTGAGCAGAAATCACAGAAAGAACTACCTGGTAATTGAATTTTATTATAAGAAATACTAAATGCTAAGTATAATAATGTGGAGAAAGACCAAACTTGGTGATGACTTCTTTCACTTAAGTGCAGATAAATTCTCTGTATCTTTTGACAAATGATTGATTTGAGTGGTACTAGCAACTACACTATTTATAATACAGAGTACCTATCTAAATTGCAAAATATTTTTAATACTCAAAATAATTTTAGGAAAACTGAAATGGTTTAGAAATTACTCTAAAGCCTCTGTGAACTTTATTGAAATGTCAACTTTTATATTACTTATACTATGTCATTTCATGTTGTCCATTGGAGCTCAATAGATTAGAGTGTGAGTCCAAACAACAAAAATGTTTTCTAATAATACACCATAAAAAATGTAAGACTTAAAAATTAAACAACGTGACTCACCATTAAATTTAACATTTAAAATTAATTAATTTATGGACATTAAATCACCTGGTTCTTAAAGACTAGAATCTAAAAAGAGCAAATCCAAACCCTTTCTTCCTGAGTATACAGTATGCTTAGTTTCATCAGAACTGAGAAACCTGAATTATTTCATTTCCAGATATTAATGTGTCATTCCATTTCATTGTTTTTTCATGAATATGATGAGGCACCAACAATATTTTGATTATGATTTTCCTATAGGAAATGCTACCATATTTTTCCTCTGGTTATTTCCGATTATTTTTGGAAGGTTTTAGTTTTCAACAACTTATGATGTGTCTAGATGTGAATGTCTTTGTTCCTAATCCCCTTCCACTGGATTCTTGGAACTATATAAATTTATATCTATTATAAATTTCCATAGAATAGACTTACCTCCACCAACAAAAAGAACTGTCATCTAATTCTGGTGATCATCATAAACTTTTCTAGAAAATATATTTACTATATTACTTATTCTTCAACTACTTATATATAGATATAATATAAATACCATTTTAAGATATTTTAATACTAATATATGATATTGTATTCACTCTTTGACATTCTTTTTATACTCAGAATTGTTTAAAAACATTTATACTTGTGTAAAGCATTTCACAATTTTGTGAAATGAAATTTTGGTCCATTTTAGTCATATCCCATTATATAAATTTATCATAGTTTCTAACATTCATTTTTCTGTTGATGAATTTATTTGATAATTTAAACAATGAATGATTCACTGACTATACTTGTATGTATAAATCACCTGGTAAACATGAACAAGTGATTCTTTAGGGATTCTGGGCCATCTCTTCTCTTATGAGAAATTACCATCTTTTGTCAGTTTTCATCCTGGATTGATTTTATTGGATTTAGAAGAGTTCTTAATCATGTTTGATACTCCTCACTTATTATACATGTATATATGACATAGCAAATATTTTCTTAATATTTATGATTTATGTCTATTTTTGGATATATAGAAGTCCAATATAATAAAATTTAATCTTTATAATAAAATAATTTGTATATTTTATTATGTTTTATTTTAGATTTATTTGGATGATCTCTTTTTGACATTATAGAGACATGAGTCTCTTAGTTGTGAAATGATATTCTTAAAACTTTCTTATTAAATATATCAAATATAAACCAAAACACACAGAAGAGGATAATGAACATTGTGTGCCTATTATTCATTTTCAATAACTCATGGACAATCTTGCCATTGCCCTCAAACTCTGTACCTGTGGACATATTGGTTTTGTTTTGTTTTTAGATGTATTATTTTTTAGATATGTGTAATATTATTTCATACATCAGTATATCAACATATAACTTTAGAAGATTAGGATTTTTTGCATTTTTTAAAATTAGAGCTTAATTGTTGTTATAGTAGTTGGGTTCATCCCAACAAACTTATACATGCATGGAAATCAATTTCATTTTATGATCTCCCCTTTCCTTCCCTCTTTTCCTCCCTATCCTCCCCTTCCCCTCTTCTTCCTCTACACTACTAGACTTCCTTTCACTTGTCTAATAATTTGTATTTGATTTTTTTTTTAAATAATAGTATCCTTCCCTCCTCCTTTCCTTTATTTTATTCTAGCTTTTGCATATGATAGAAAACATTCAACCTTTGAGTTTCTGTGTTTGGCTAACTTAGCATGATATTATTCATTTTCATCTATTTACCAGCAAATGACAAAATGACATAGTTTCATTCCTTTTAATGGCTGGATGGAACTCTGTTTTTTGTTTTGTTTTGTTTGTGTGTGTATCTGTGTATTTATGTGTCTCTGTGTGTGTATATATCTAGATATATACACACACAGTTTCTTACTCCATTCATTTATTGTATTATTTATTTTTTGGTACTAGGGATTCAACTCATGGGCACTCAACCACTGAGCCACATCCCTAGCTCTATTTTGTATTTTATTTAGAGTCTTGGTCATACTGAGTTGCTTAGCACATCACTGTTGCTGAGGCTGGCTTTGAAAATGCGATCCTCCTATATGAACCTCCCTAGTCACTGGGATTACAAGCATGTGCCACTGAACCCAGCCCCATTCATTTATTGATGGACATGGGAGCTGATTTCATAATTTAGCTATTGTGAATTGTGCTGCTATAAATATTGATATGGCTGTGTTGCTGTAGTATGCAGATTTTAGATCTGTTGGGAAAATACCCAGGAGTGCATTGTGAGGTCATATGATAGTTTCATCCCTAGGTTTTTGAGGAATCTCCATACTGCTTTTTAGGTTGGTTGTCCTAGTCTGGAGTCCCACAAACAATGTGCAACTGTGCCTTTCTCCCCACACCTCATCAGCACTAATTGTTCTTTGTATTCTTGATCTTTGCCATTCTAACTGGCATGAGATAGAATTTTAGGATAGTTTTCATTTGCATTTCCCTGATTTTTATTTTGTGTTTCTTTTACTGAGAAGTGTATGTTTAGTTCTTTTCTCCAATTATTGATTGGGTTATTTGTAGGAGTTTTTTGTGCTAATATTTTTTACTTCTTTATATATTCTGGATACTAATCCCCTATTGGAGAAGTAGGTGGCCAAGATTTTCTCCCATTCTGTAGGCTCACTCTTCCTTAGCTTTGCAAAAGCTTTTTAGTTTAATGGCATCCTATTTATTGATTGTTAGTTTTATTTCTTATGCTTCTGTGATCTTGTTAAAGAAGTCTGTGCCTGCACCTATATGATAGAGTGTTGACCAGATGTTTTCTTCTTCCAGTGGTAAGGTTTCTAGTCTATTCCTAAGTGTTTGATCCATTTTGATTTGAGTTTTGTGCAGGGTAAAAGATAGGGGTCTAATTACATTTTTTTTACATAAAGCTATCCAGTTTTCCTAGCACTATTTATTAAAAAAGGCTTTCTTTTTTTCTGAGCTATACTTTTGGCACCTTTTGCCAAATATCAGATAATTATAGGATTTTCTGTTTGTGTCTTTTATTATGTTTGTTGGTCTATATGTCTATTTTGGTGCCAATATCATGCTGTTTTTGTTACTGCATCTCTGTAGATCAAGTATTGTGATTCTCTTGCTTCACTTTTCTTGTTTAGTATTGCTTTGGCTATTCTAGGTCTTTTATTCTTTCAAATGAAGTTAAGAAATGTTTTTTCTAGGGGCTGGGAATGTGGTTCAAGCGGTAACGCGCTCGCCTGGCATGTGTGGGGCACTGGGTTCCATCCTCAGCACCACATAAAATAAAATAAAGATGTTGTGTCCACTGAAAACTGAAAAATAAATATTAAGAAAACTTCTCTCTCTCTCTTTCTCTTTAAAAAAATGCTTTTTTTCTAATTCTGTGAAGAATGTCATTGATGGGGATTGCACCAAATCTGTATATTGCTTTTGAAATGAAATGAAATGAAAGTATGGACATTTTGACATGGGATGTTTTTAGATCTTCTAGAATCTTCTTCAATTACTTTCTTCAGTGTTCTGTAATTTTCATTGTAGAGCTCTTTTATATCCTTGGTTAGATTAATTCCAAAGTATGGCTTTTTTTTTAGTGTATTGTGAATGGGATGGTTTTCCTGATTTCTTCTTTGACTGAATCACTGTTGGAGTATGATCTTGTATGCTGATATTTTGTAAATTCATTTATAAGCTCTAAAACTTTAGAAGTCTTTTGGTGGATTTTTTTTTTTGCATCTTCTAGATATAGGATCATATCATTGGCAGAGATAGTTTGTATTCATTTGATTTCCTTTTCTTGCCTAATTCCTCTGGCTAATGTTTCAAGGGCTATATTGATAGTAGTGGTGAGGGTGGGCATCCTTGTTTTGTTCCTGAATTTAGTAGAAAAGCCTTTAGTTTTTCCATTTAGTATGTTGTTGGCTTTGGGTTTGTCATAAATATCCTTAATGGTATAGAGGTAAGTTCTTTCAATCTGTTTTTCGTCAGCGTTTTTAACATAAATGGATTTTATCAAAAGGCCTTTTCTCTACCTATTGAGATGATCATGTGATTTTTTGTTCTTAATTCTGCTTAAATGATGAATCACATTTATTGATTTGTGCATGTTGAATCAACCTTGTATCCCTGGAATGCAACCCAGTTAATCTTGTGTATTATTTTCTTGATGTGTTTTTTGAAATGCAATTTGTTAATATTTTATTTAGGACTTTTGTAGCTATATTCATCAGGAATATTGCTGTATAGTTTTCTTGATTCATCTTTGTCTGGTTTTTGTATCAAGGCTATACTAGCTTCATAAAAATATTTAAGAGAGTTCCCTGTTCTTCAAGCTCATGTGATAATTTGAAAAAGACTGGTATTAATTCTTCTGTAAAGGTCTGGTGGAATTTAGCTGATCATTCATCAGGTCCAGGGCTTTTCTTTTTTGAAAGGCTTTTAATCACTGTTTTAATATCATTACTTGATATTTATCTGTTTAGTGCATCCATATCTTCAGGTTCAATTTGCACAGGTCATATATGTCTAAAACTTCATCCATGTCTCCCAGAGTTTCTAGTTTTTTTAGAGTATACATTTTCTAAATATGATCTGATAATCCTCTGGATTTCAGAGGAGT